GAAAATAAATAACTAACTACTTGCCTCCATTAAGTATTTCACAATGCTTTCAAAGGAGGTACAGTGTTCTGGCTATACTCTAGAGAAACAATCTTCTGCCTGTCTACGTTTCAGCTGGATGCAGTACAGCATCTGGCCGATCAGAGTTGCTGAATGCTCTGGGACAGCATCTGGGTACGCCCAAGGTCTGTTTTACCTCTGAAATTGCCACACTTATCAGCATCTTGACAGAGTAGTTCACTGGGAGGTAAACAATGTAATAGATCCCAGACAGGGCACTTCACCATATGAATTGCCATCATTTCACCTTTGTAAATGAATGTATTTTATACACTGTTCAGTTATCCAATCTAATTTGATCCAGGGTGGCAATTAAGACTACAAAACTTACATACATGTGGACATCAGTGATCCCATCTCTCCAAAGGCCACACAATAAACAGTCTGATCCAAAGAAAAATGCCCAGCCTCTGGTCACAGAGCTAAACAGATAGCTAAGTGGACAGCATTTTGGAAATATGTGCCAGGGACTGATCTTACACAGAGGAGAAATTAATTTCTATTAGTAAATATTAATGTTGTACACAGCTTCATCGAAAGAGAATAAGGACCATTTGATATTTATTTAGGAACTCTAAGAAAAAAAACCAAGTTATCTGTTTATTTGCAAAACCATACCAGAAAAAAAAAAAAGCATCATCTTTAGCAATAATTTTTATCATTACTGCAGAAAGGGGCCAGGGATTGAATGGGCAATGGATATTGAACTACCTTCTGACTTGGGAATTTTCCCTGTGATTCCATATTGCAAAATGTTGCAGGAAGTTTGTTCTGCCACTGCCCTAGCCGTGCTTTTTTCTGTTGATAGAAGTGTAGTTGTGGGTGTTATCCACCTAATAAAACTAAAGGTTTATAAAAATACTGTTTGCATTCTCTAGTGATTCACACCATCTGCAAATCTCAAAACTCCAAGTGTAAGTCACCAAGGAGTTTGCCCCAGTTTAAACACATACTGAACAGATGAGATTGCGATGACAATGTACATTTCAGTATAGCTACAATTGCAATGTTATTTATAAAGTTTGTTTTTATTACCCACACTCTGTGCTCATCTCTCCAGACAACAACAGCTTTGAATAATGAAGTATTCACATAAGATTGAACCTGAATTTTGTTTTTTTCCTATGCTTATGCACCCATCAAACTGAAAATTTCACCTATTAATGGTAAGAATTGATTATGACCTCTCATTTTCAGGGAAGATACTTTCTTTTTTTTTAAATCACTGAGCTCTTACAGAAATATATTTTAATCAAGAATGTGATGTATTAGGGTGGCAGTGGAGTTGGCGTGGGTGTGAATTCAGCGACAGCAAAGAAGTTGGATATTATTGCTTATTGGCATCTCAGAAAAGTTAAGATAAAACAGAACTTGATGACAACCACACTAACCACAGAACAGAACAGTAACACTTAACATATGTTTCCTTGCCACCACCCTGTCAATGCACCGCAAACCCATCTTGAAGAAACTGTTTTTAATGGTTCATTTAAACAATTTGTCTACCCCTCCACCCTCATACACAGCTTTCACAGCACCCGTATCGGCAGTTCATAGGCTGTCTGCAAGTCAGCACATGGACAGAAGGTGGACAGGTTTAGGAGCACGCTGTGCTCCTAAACTTCACGCCTGCCCATCAACTGCTGTGTAGACATATTTACCGTGTTTGGGAAATAGTGTTGAACATTTATCGTGTTTGAACCATGTTGATGCAAGCTGGGTGAGTCACTTTGTTGCATTTTGTTGAGCAAAAGCAGCAACTGATAAAAACATGTGAGAGACAGTCAATCAGGTAAGAATGCAAAAGGACCTGAAATGGAAGGTAAGTCACTGGCTTGACACAATGGAGTAAGGGGAGCGTACAGAGAGATGCAGAGAATGGTGACATCAACAAAGTGACAGACCGAAAGAACAATTTTTGTTACCCAATTCTTATCATGATATAAAATGAATCTGAACAAGCTATTTAACCATGTGATTGGTGAATATTTGTTCAAGATGGTTGTTTCTCTTCTAGTTGAACTGATCTGGTTCATGCTACCAAGCTTGAAAGATTATTCAAAATTGCATGAATGGATGGGCAACCTGCCTCAAAAGCCAGAGAATTTTATCCTTTTTGCCATATTTTATTCCTTGTCTATATCCTTTTGTTAAACATCTCCTATTAAAACAGAAAAAAAGGCTCAAATCTTGGTTTCCATCATACCTGCCCACGTAATTCTGTAGCTTCCCAGACCAGGGTATCTGAAATTATAGTTCTGATGAGAACCTTAATACTACAGACAAAAAAAGTGCAGAGAGGAAAGTGAGATGAAAGGTATTCCTTTCTTCTCTTATCTCTCCCCAATGTACTTACTTTTTCGAATATTACACTTATTAATTCACATTATTAATAAAAGTAAACAATAATAACTAGCAATGCCTTGCAGTTCTAAATCTCCCTTCAAGGCAATGAAGGCCTTAACAAATGCAAGGAAAATATCATTTCCATTTTTTATACAAGGGAAAAAATGAAGCTCAGAGAAGTTAAATTATTTACAGAGTCAGTAGCAGAAGAACCAAAGCCTCCAGACTGCTGCTCCATACAAAACATTGGAGGAAACAAAGAATACTGTCAGTAGAGTAATAACATATGAGAAGGGAAACTATGCATTTCTGTCTGATTATTATAATGTTGTTCATCTCTAGAGCAGAGCATTGCTTTAAGCAGTGCCTTTTTGGATTAAGATTGCAAATGGGTTTAAATCACTCAAGGGTAGAAAATGGTTCTATTTGTCAGATTTCACACTAACAATTGTATGGCATTTCCTTGCTCTACTTAGCTTGAATTTCATATTCTGCCACTATTAAACAACTCTCCACGCAGAAATCTCAACACATTGCTAATGCAAACAAAGCTCTTGTGGTTCCATCCAGGGCTACACAAACATACACCTGAGCACCTAGTCTGCATATGTTTACTGAAGTTCTTCTGTCTGTAAAAGAATGTTACATTTAGGCCAACATGATTTAAACTTTTTAGGCTCTAACTGGAAACTTAAGCTAGCTAACTTCACAGTCATGGAAAACTTATTGTAATTTCTCAAGTATTTAAGCCAGATTCTAAGTCTTTTCCAATAAGAACTCCAATATGCAAAATTAAAACCATATAATTTCCATTCTGCAAACATGATTCAAAATACTTTCCTATCTGCCTATGGAAATGTAGAGGTATAATTACACTACTTTTTAATTAAATATTGATGAAAATCCATAGAGGAAGGCTCTTTTGCTGAGACCACACATGCACAAACATACCAGTTTGCATTGGTATAGTTACACCACTATTCCCCTGCATAAATAAAAACTATACAAATGAAAAAACACCAAAACAAAACACAAAAACTATACAGAAGGACAAAAGTAGTATTATTGTTTCAGCTACACCAAATCAGATTTCCAAGCCTGCAGAGAGGTGCAGGAGAAACCACTAAGAATAATTATTTGGCAGTCATCTGAAACAATCCCTCTATTAGTACAAGGCTGAAAAACTCCACCCATGCTGTGAAAAAGAGAAATTTATCTTCAGGAATACAACCATGCTGTACAGAGCTTTGAGTTCTTTGAATGGAAAGTTACTATTTCCATGAGTTACCGGTTATTATTGCAACATCGTAGCCAATAATTTGAAAAAGCAACCTGATTCCTGAATGTAAAGAATTCACTTGTTGCTATTAGTTTCGACAAAAGCACTAAAAAAAACCTCAGCAGCTGCAAAATTCTGTTGCAAACACAATGTTCCTGGAAGGATGATTTGACAAGCATCTATTGACGGGTTTCTACAACTGAAATGTGCTTTTTAAAATAATTTCATCCAATGGCAGGGAGAAACAGTTTTACTGACTAACAACAGGATTCTGGACACAGATTTCTCTTGCTCTCCACAGACACTGAAATACATTCCCCAGTTATCCTGAAGCTGAGAGATGTAATCCCTCTCCTCCCTCTTTAGGAGACAGACAAATGTCCCACCTGTTTCCCAAATATGGAGTTCAGCGATTACCTGTGCTTGTACCACAACTTTATACCCACCCACTGTCTTCCAGTCTAGACCAGCTGAAATCCAGCCAGGCAAAAACCAGCTGTGCACATATAAACTGCAGTTCATTAGGAGAAGGAAGACAAGCGAGCAAGCTGTGCAGGAGGGATGATGCTAATATAGCTGTACAGAGCCTGTTTCTAAACAGGCTAATAGTTTTGCTCCCTGCAGCTAGAACACATTTCAAAACAGACCTCAAGCAGAGGAGGAATTTTAAGGTAAGTCCAAACTGCCATGCTTGCCTCCCACCCCAGAGGATTTCAGCACTTTGTTGTCACCTTTTTTTTTTTTTTTTTTTTTTTTTTTTTAATTTATATTTCTCCTTCGACACCGGGGACATTTTTTCCTTTTTTTTTTTTTTTTTTTTTTTTAACCTTACATTACTCCATTCAGTACAGGGAAACAGTTCAGAAAGTAGCAGTATTCTGTGAATCAACCACATCCATCAACTTTTTTTTTTTGAAAGGACATAAACAGTTGTTACCAATATTATGGAAAAAGCCACTTTTTCAATTAGCGACAAAACTGGTGAATACACCACATCGTTCTGAACAGGAAAAAGCTTGCATGTACATCGAGATGTATTACTTAAGTTTAGATACATTCAGTGTGGTAAAAACAACTCTTCTGCCTCAGTTGACTTAAAAAATCATGTCTTCCATCTCTCACAAGAGCACCTGAACCATCAGGCTACTCGTTTTTTTAAAAGATGGAAAACAGTGCAAGTTCCACTGCTGGTATCATGCTATCATGCATAAATATACATTTCACAGAAGGGATTACAGAGGCAAGAGACCTACTCTTATTTTTCTGTATAAGAATTTTATACAAAGTGAGACCATTCCACTTAGCAGGATACCTGTGTCGAGAGATTCTACGGCTCAGTGGTGAAGCTAATGTCAGGGTATGAATCAAAGGCAGTAGATAGGAAGTTGGCACTCCCAAGCGGTTGTAGGCATGCTCTTCCTCCTGTCAATAAAATCTTACAGAGGATTTGACAATGTTTCCCGCCCAAAATCTATGCACCTTTGTAGGTGATGGGAAATATAGGTTGAACCCCTGCATCAATAGGGAACTGAGTATAAGTCTCCCACACTCCTTGTACTTTTGACGTAAGCGTGCCGCCAATATTCTGCCCTGCATGTGGTCGTCTCCTCCTACATGCAATGGAGTATTTTACACAGATTCTTTCTAAAAAAACAGGTTTTTCCATTTAGATAACAAGATCAAAACCTTTTAAATATTTCAGTATCTAACCACTTCTGATTTCTTCAGTTCAGCACCAAAACCACAAGATCAGTTACTCACAAAGCACCCGCAACAACAAATTGACATGTCGTATCAGGAATGCTGCCACTTACTTACTTAGGTACTAACTTGATCTGATAGTCAGGACTGTCTTGAAAAGCAAAGACCATATCTACAGATAAATTGAACAAGCAGATGTATACAGTTAGGCCAAAGCTTCACCCCTAGTCTTGATCTCTTCAATGGGCCAAGAGCAAATTACAGGAGTTTAGATCCAGCCTTTACAGCTGAGGTTTGTGGCTTTGATTCAGGTAATGGCTAGTGCAGATGAACTGGTTTGCAGACCTCTCAACCAACCAGGGTGAGAAGAAAACAGCATCATTTTCTATCCACACCCAGGAGAGGCTGGGGAACTCTGCTGTCAGCACAAGAGGGAGCACTGCTTTGCCCTTGCTTTTCTTTCTGCTAAACTCCACCCCAACTAAGAAAGCACAATAAGAAATGAAACAAATAAGATGTATTTCTCACTGTCTCTATATCACAGATTCATTGCTACAGATTTGTACATCTTCTACTCGTATAGGCCACATTCTTCACTACCCAGTTTTTTCCATACCAAACCGGGAACAGGCTAGTTGTGAGTTGGTGAAAGTCCTAAGACAAAAGGCTGACCAGATGCAGAAGGTAGGAGGAAAGGTGGTAGTCTGGTCGCACAGGACCAACAGCAGGTTAATTCTGGCTGGAGGCAATATAACTGGCTACCTATAGATGTGAGAGTGTGTATTCTTCTGTCCTTGTTTTCCCTCAATACTACAAATCATTTCTAATTTACCCTCCACTTAAATGCAATGTGCTCCCATACAACGTTTCTACTTGTCTTTTTCTTCTCATCAAACCTACAGCATGGGGGAGACCTGAGGAGAAAGACACAGATACATTAAAGCGCTGTCTTCATAAATTATTCTCAAACTGAACTGCAGCACTTTTTTCTATTGGTTAACAGTACAAAGATGATAAACCCAAAGCTAGGAATAAACAGGATGTTTCTGCAGAATAAATTCAGGGAAAGGGTAGTAAACAGATGGGAAAACATACCAGAATAGATAAAATTAGAAAAAAAATATTTGCTTCAAAGAAGGAGGTAAGAGAATGAGATCAAAAGAGAAGATTTTTGTTTTCAGTATCAGTAAAATAAAAGTCATGGATGAGAGATTGGCCAGTTGGCTAGTGCTGTCTCTAAGCAAGTCTCCAATCTTATCACCACACCACAATTTATTTTATTCCTGAGCTTTCAAAGATTCCTACATATTGTTAGAAGTTATTATTTTGACATTTTTAATTTCTGTTACACTGATAAATGCTTGGCAGAAGTATTACTTTCCCCCACATGCTCCTTACATTGTTGAGCTCTCTTCCATTTCCTCACAGGTTTCACATTGCTGCTGCTACTTCTTTTCGTCTCTCTCGTGTTCGCCATTCCTACCAGCAGTGATTTATGCACATTCACCAAAATCCAGGAAACACAAAAGGATATCTGGGTTCTGCCACCAAAAAATCTGTTCAAGCGCGTCATATATTACACCATACCCACATAGAAGACTCATTACACAGGCTGTCCAAACATGTCCACCACCTGAATTCAACCGTACCTCCTGGATTCAGGCAGCCTTCTCTTCTCAAATAATTGTCTCTCAAACAAGAATTCTGTGTTCTCATTGTTCCCTCTTGTTGGTCCCTCACTCATACGTATTTTCTGCCCCTCATTTGCTCTTTCATTCATATCTTTCTCCCTGAACTCCTCCCTCCCACAGTCTCATTTCCCCCCTTCCCACATCATTTTTATTTCCCATTACTCACTCAACAGTGGGGTCCTACCAATGCTATCTTGGAAAGGAGCCTGCTGTGGGGCGGCAGGCAGAAGTGCTGCCAGATCTGTGCTCCCTGCTTCCCAGTGGCACAGCAGGAGCCCAGTAGGGTCAGCAAGAGGCAGGACAAGGGCACAGGGGCTCTTCCAATGCAGGCGGCATCAGGCAGGCATGACCAGATTCAAGATCTTCCCAAGTTTTCTTTCTTTCGTGAAAAGAGGCCAGGCAGAACTTGGAGGAAATAACTCCAAGGTCAAGACACACACACACGCATGAAACGGCCACCAGCCACACAACTGTGTTTGCAGAGATAAGGCAAGGTAAAGCAATACAGCAGCAATGCAGCTGTGGTTGCAGAAATAACGCAAGGGGAAGAGATACAGCAGCTGGTAAAAATGATCAAACATTGAAAGTAAAATAACAGCAGCCCAAAAAGCATCCTCATCTGTTCACCTATGTTCTCAAGAAACTCCTTAGTTTAATTACAGGAGCATGACAAAGGCTAAGGATACATTTCAGCATAGTTCTGAACAGGCTGCCACTTAAATGATCAGCAAATCAATTTTCTAAAGGATCTGCTAATAGTGTTTATATAATACTGAGGGAAGAACAACTCTTAAGCACACGCAATCAAACTGATCTCAGTGGAGCCTTCATTATGCTTGCTTACAAATGCCCGTTCTGTGAATGCACAAGGCAATTTATACTTAGATGGTGATACAATGTGAACTATTTAGCCAGAACTCATAGGGCAATAAAATAATAATGCAACAGAAGACTGACTAAACAATCAAACACTTGAAACGGTGACTCACAGCATGAAGATGGCTGGCATTTAAATGCATTCAAAAATCAAATGTCACTCTATTAAAAAAAATGGCGCTTGTATCAACAACGCCTGGGACTTGCACAGTATCTGCTATGAGAGAATTGCAAGGATTATAACTTACTAACTCTCATAATTTTACTGTACATCTCCTTAATTTTTTTAACTTACTCCAGTGATGTGCTTAGCTCAGACTTCCAGCTGTATTTAAAAAAAAAAAAAATCATTTAATAGCTAGAATATGACACGACCCACAAAAGCATAGAAATACAAAAGGACCCAAAACCAACTCAAAAGTTTTTCATGACCTATTGCGTTGGTGAGAAGTTGCAAGCAGTGTACTACAGGACAATCGAATGAAGACACTATTTCTTCATCTCCCTTATGTTCTGCTTCATGCGCTCACATTATCAAAACTGGAGCTGCAAGTTCAGCACTCCTGCAGCATCTTGCTGAGAAAACCTATTTCCATTGTAAATGTTTTGTGATTTTTCAGTGCCTTCTAATGTAACTTTTCACAATGACATTCCTAAAATAAATCCTTGCTTTATATAGTAATACTTTTTCAATAGGAAGTGGAGAAAAATACAAAGACTCTTGTCCTGCCTTCACAAAGTGCATTGACATTCCTCTGAATTTTCCTAGGCACACAATGAAACACTAGTCAAGAGGAAGATGCTGTGTCCTACCAGAAAAGTTTTCTACTCAAACTGAGGGGATAGGATGGACAGACTACAAGGTGAAAAACTGGCTGTACCATCAGACTGAAAGGGTAGTGGTCACTGGTTTGAAGTCTGACTGATGCCCAGTTAGGAATGGAGTTCCTCAGGTATCAATACTGTAGCAAGTCTTGTTTGACACCTTCATTAATGACTTGGAAGATGAGACAGATGAGGGAAGTTCGCAGATGACACCAGACAGGGGAGATCAGCTGGCATACTGGACGGCATAGCTGCCATTAAGAGCAGCCTTGACAGGCTGGAGGAATCAGCCAGCAAGAGCCTCATGATGGCCAACCAAGACAAGGGCAAAGTCCTGCACCTGGGACAGACTACCCACATGCAGCACTGCAGCCTGGGAGCAACTCAGCAGAAAAGGACCTGGCCATTCTGGTGGACTAAAGAAGTTTGGAGCACATGGCATACAGGGAGAGACTGAGGGAAATGGGTTTGGCTATGATGGGATCTAATTACTGCATTCAGTTTCCTGGGGTGGGTTAGACAGAAGTCAGCACAAAGCTTTTCTCAGGAGCATGCACCAAGAGGACAAGAGACAAAAATCCGAAGTTGCACCCACAGAAATTCCAGCTGTGTGTAAGAAAACAATGTTCACAGTGAGAGACATGAAGTACTGGCACAGGTTCCCAGAGAGGACGTGGACTCTCCACCCATGGAGAGTTCCTAAGTCATCTGGACAAGGCCCTGAGCAGCCCGGCCCAACTCTGAAATCAGATCCTCTTTGAAGAAGAGATTTGACTAGACGATTTCCTAGGTCTCTTCCAATCAAAATTATTCTATGAACCTTTCATTACTTCTTTTAACAGGAACTGGATATTTCTGAAGTTCTAATTGTTATCAAGGAATATAAGAACCATTCTGTCAACAAAATTGCATCATGGTCAAAAATTGAATTGTTTTGATGGGAATTTCCAACTGTGAAACACTGGAAGTTGATCTAGCAAATCTAGTAGTATTTGACATTCTTCTACCTTTACCTCATCAGCTGACTATCCTGTGACTTTCAGCGACTATCTCTTTGCAGAGTGGAAATAATAATAATTCTTACCTGTTTCATATGGGAGAGATATTTTGTTTCCACAGAAAGTGGAAGTGTTTTCCAAACCACCAACCTCCAGAAGACTAAGTCCCTCAGTATCCCCAGCTTATGACTTAGTGAGACCTAGTTTCATTGCCTGGTACTGTCACCTCCAGCTGTCAGCAGCAACACCAGGTACAAACGAACTGCACGTCAGAGGCACTGCGGAAGAGGAACGGGTCAAAGAGAGGTCTAGTACCTGTAAGGAGAAGATTCTTACTCTTTGCTGACCTTCTTTCTCTTTCCAAAAAAGATTTTGATAAAAGGATATTCATGTTGGGGTGGGCGGAATCAACTAAGCCAGAGGTCTGAGGGTTGAATTCAATGTTTTAAGTGTCATTTAAATGTAGTATGTGGTGGGTGAATAAACAAATATATATAACAAGAGCTATAACCTCATGCCTCTGACTCTATCCAGTTGTACTCACAATCTAATAAAATAGGACAGCTATGTTGCCTTGCTTATTAGCAAGCATAGCAGTTTTTAAAAAAGCACTAGAGATACATGATTTACTAATTCGGATTAAAAAAATCCCTTTAGTAAGTAGATTTTCCAACTAAACTTAAGACCGAAAAAATATCGGATATATGACAACCAGATAACATTTAAATAGTTCTCTGCGTATTTTTGTGGGAGGCACGAGACTCCACAGAATAATTTATTTTACACAGATAATGGAGTTACTGTGACTTGTGAAGCATCTGGAATTACAGCCAGTGGCAACAACTCACAATTTAAAACCTTTCTCTAAATAAATCTCATCATGACAGTTCAAGCATACACAGAGATCCAATTTAATCTTTCCACAGCATTTAAGTCTGTGCTAGAGCCCAAAGACTTCTATGATTTTTTAATTATTATTTAAGCGTGACAAGGTAACTAAACTGAAATATACTTATTTTCCAATATATAAAATATAGTTTGCTGCAGAGCCTCTGCTGCCTGGCCTAATATCTGTCAGCACTAATGTGACAAACTTCTGAAAGAAGAGTTGTAAGGGAACTGTCAAGCTATGTTACAGCCAGACCAATCCGGTTGTTCTCCATCTTTAAAAAGAGTGGAAATATCAGACTCATTCCTTAAACTGTCATGACTATGAAACCTTCAGGGACAATGTGCTTAGCTGCTTAGAGAAGAAAAAATGTCTTCAAGAAATATGTATAACATACAGCAACAGCATTTGTGCCTCTGTTCATCAAACCTTAATCTGATTTTATTTTTAATCACAAAATTATCCAATATTCTCAAAGAACTGAATTAATGACTCATTAAAGGACAGCACTGAAGTTCAATATCTGAAAGAAAATTCAAGCTTGATCACAAGCCTGTAAGGAAATTACTTTCTTTTCAAGACAGGCTCTAAAGCATCGTAAAGAGGTTAAATTGAGATGACTGGCAGCCTTTACTGAAGAGAAGCACAGGTCCAAGTGAGCTCATGGATCTCTTTAGTGCTTTCAGGTTAAGACAGAGAGCTATCCTCCAAACCAGTTACAGAAACAATATGACACCGATACACAGACAACATTGGTCACAAATTAGGTGCTAGTCTATCAAAGTGCTTTGCTTAACTGAATTTGCTATCAATCCAAGCTTTTAAATTATTCTCTTGTGTACTTTTTACATATCTTTAAAATTAAGGTTGTACAATTTATCAAAAATTAGGCTAGGAATTTTATGAGGAAGTCTAAGTGAGTCAGATATTGAATACTCACCAAATTCCACATATAACACTCTTGTAGAACTTTTGATTTTTTTACCTAAGCTACCGCAACTTGACTACTAAAAAAGTATGGTCCACATCACCAGGACAGTACAGTGACAAATAACAGAAGTGGCAACATCTTAGCTGTACATAGCACCTTCTGTCAGAAAGCAAAGGTATTTTAGGGGCAGATGTTAAATAGAATGACATGCAGTACTTGGAGTTATTCTATTACCCACACCTAGAAAATGAGAAAACAAGGCATAGA